CATTATGTTTTCTGGTGTAGTTGTGTCCAAGCATTTACATGTTTACATGTATGTTATTTTACATATTACATTCTTTTATTTATCCTTTATGTAACAGATGGGACATTTTATTGAGTTCTAAAAATGAGAGAGTTTGTGGGTTATAAAGGTGGCATTATAAAACATGCGTATACAGAAAGACAGTGTTGGGTTTGATAGAGCTTGAGAACACTTGCCTTAGAGGAAGATGATATGGATATTTGCTTGTTAATGTTTCATTCATTCTTCCATTCAACAAACGTTTATGAAGTATCTCCCGAGAATAAGGCACCAAAGCAGATGCAAAGAAGAATACAAAAGAATTCTAGCTGTAAAGGAGTCCCTGTCCTCAATGAAGTCATAGTCTAGTGAGAAAGATCACATATTTAACAGGGGAGATAAAAATTTGGACAAGTAATTAGAATTTAATATAGAGTATGGCAAAAGCTTCTAAGAGAAATACAAATGACATGTTTTGAAAATTTAGGGGAAGGGAACAACTACTTCTGGCCAGGTCAGGGAACCCTTCGTGAAAGCCTTGGCCTTTGAATCAGGCCTTAGTGGGCTTGGATTTGTGGGACCAGGAATCTCTGCACAACAGGTCAAGAGTAGCTCAGAGATATCCACAGCTGGACTGCTCTTTGTTACCGTGCAGGCCGATGAGCCTGGCTTGCTTTCCATACTTTTAGAAAGCAAATAGCTAAGCACCTTGACAGCCAGTACAACAAATGCATGTCATAATAAGCAATTATTGATCAGGGAGACATTTTTATGATGTTTTGGGAGTAACTGAATTATATGCACTGATGTGTTTGAATTTTAATTGTTTACCAGTTCACTGGGAGTAAAATATGGAGTAATAAAACAGATGATACCCCATTCCTTGATATCCCAGCTCTCCTTGAGCACGACCTTCCTTCAAAATTACCTTAATCACCCTGGATGAAAGACAAAGTCTAAGGGCTTTTATGATGCTGCCCATAACACTCATGAAATGTTTCACTGTTGCTGC